CAGCTCTGTCCGAATTCGAGCAACTTAATCCGTTATTACTGAACAAATTCCTCAGCTCTACCTTGTAAAGGTTCATCCGCATCTCTACTTTTCAAGAGGGAGCGGGTTATTCTAGACAAGGTGGCTGGGCACGATTCAGCGGATGCAATACGGGCGGCAAAATGCGAGCATTTTGCCGCCCGTATTGCCACGAGATAAAGGCTCTCATCAGTGCTCGGTCTGACTCAGATTTACTGGCCCTCCAGTGGCGCTTTAGAACAATTTTCATTGTTCTACTGTACTTTGTCAAGAAGTTAGGGGGCTTCATGATCATTAGACACCTCCCTCCCTTGTAGGCAAATATCTCACCTGTGTATAAGTCTTTATTGTGAATTACCATATTTTTGGAGTATAAAACGCACCCTTTTCCCTCAAAAAAGAGGCTGAAAAGAGCATTTTTTGCCTGCCAAAGCCCCTCCCCCTTCACCACAATGGCCATGCAGAGTCTGCAGAAGGCTTTCAGAGTGCTGCTGGGGGCTGGAAAGGGCAGAAATGAGCGAAAAACAGGCCGGTTTTTGCTCAATTTTGCCCCCAGCCCAGCCCCCAGGAGTACTCTATAAGCCTCCTAAAGGCTATGCGTGCAATTTATTTTGACAAAAAATGGTCCCGTTTTTGCGAAAAACTGGCTGTTTTTTGCTCGTTTTTTTAGGGGCACCCTCCAGGAGCACTCTGCAAGCCCGGTAAAGGCTATTCATGCCTTTTGGGGGAGGGGGAAGGGCTCATTTTCATGAAAAATGGGCTGTTTTGGGGAGGTTTGCAGAGTGCAAAAACCTTTTTTTTTTTTAATTTGCCTCTTCAAAACCTTGGTGCGTCTTATACTCCGAAAAATACGGTATCTTGAAAACCTTAGCCAACCTTTATCACATGTTTTCTACTTCATCTAATCAAAATATGTAAAATTAACCCATTTTATCTTGGAGGTCAATAATTTTCCAAAATTTGTAGACCAGTCTATTAGTTCACCTCCCTGATTAATGTTGGCAATGAATGTTGGATTGATGAAATAGGGGTACTGGAAGCATTAGCCATGTTACCTATCTAGTGACAAAATGGGAACATATTGATTGGTTTCATTCATTCATAATAGGGAAGAAGTGGTAATGGGAAGGAGAGCTAATAGTATAACCTTGAGCTTGTTTAGAGGTTCTAGCAGGGGAATGCAACTATCATATACCCTTGACCGACGATTGCTACACTCCTTCTATCTGGGATGGTCATCCTCTTGCACCGAGCACGCAGCTTTGGGAGGGACGCACATGGAGCAGTGAGGGAGGAAGGAGGTGACACCCGCCTAGCCAGCCAGATCAGCCGAATCAACCCTGACGATCAGTGGGGTGACAGATGTCACAGCCAATTGGCACAAAGTCATTAGTAGGAAGTAAATGATCATCATGTTTCACGTTCTTAAATGTTTTAGTCTAGCATTTGAACCAGTCATTGAATTGCCCTCACTTGACTTGCACAGATGAATAGTTTCACTAACTCTGGTACTTAAATTTAGACTACTTGCAACCAACCAATTTACATGACTACAAGCAACCTCTTAGATTGCATTCCAAATTATTGCACTAATGGGGTACCATCCATCTTTTCTTTCCAAGTGCAGCTGTATCAGCTAAGCATCTGCTTTCTTTTTAGGATGATGTCATTCTGGTCATTGCTTGTTATCCTGCTTCTCTCTTTGCCATCTTGTTCCCTGTTCTTTAGTTCTCTTTGATACAATTACTCCTCATATAGATATCCTATATGCCTAATTTTTCCATTGTGATAAATTGTAATTGAGGCGCAAGAGTTAAAGGAATCTTTCTACTTGTCTTTTTTAGGTCCAGTTGTGGCAGGAATTGTTGGAACCAAAATGCCACGGTATTGTCTATTTGGGGACACAGTCAACACAGCCTCCAGGATGGAATCTACCAGTGAAGGTGAAGTGCAATTAACAGTACAATCAAGGAGTGAGCTATGACTTGGTACCACTTCAATTTTCTTTCCTGACTTAATCTGGCAGAATGGGTATTTTTCTTGGCTAAGGAACTGTGGGTGGCAGGGCATAGAGGATGAGGCATTCCTGTATAGTGACTGCCCCATATAGAACATTATCTCTAAGAGTTTAGGTTGGCCCTGATCCTGTTGACATTCCATATGGCTTAGAGATATGGCCCTGGTTCTGGTTTTGTGTGTTTTCTCCTGGCTATGTGGATGATGGTTAATGATCTTGGCTGCTGTATGTTTTTCATTTTAAAATTTTATTATTGTCAACTTCCCTGAGTCATTGCTGAGATGGGTGGCTATACAAATTGATTTTTATTCATTGCATAGTCAGCCAGATGTTCAGACTGGATTTGGCATTTTTGTCCACCTATTGAGTCATTCCCAAGGACTTGGAATAGGCAGATGTGGATGTTTGAGGGTGTTAGAGGTATCATTGCAGGATGTAACTTGTTCCTATTGCAATTGACTGATGGTGAATTTATCAATGGTGTTGAAGTGGTGCTCCAGTTGTTTGGGACTGCATCCAAGGCACCTATTTGTATTGTACTACCTTTGCTTTTTTGCCACAGTCATTCTATTTCCATTTGCAGGTCTTTGTATTTTATATTTTGTTCATTTTTTTCTCTTATTTTTGTCTGTCTCCAGTTACTGCCATGTCCACTATCCATACTTTTTTGACTTTCTTATTGACAATTGTTAAATTAGGTTATCTGGCAGGTGTCTGTCAGTTTGAATTCTAAAGTCCCAAAGCACTTTAGCTTCTTCATTTTCATTGACTTTCTCTGTTTTATGATCCCACCAGTTCTTGCTTGCAGGCAAATGGTATTTGTTGCAGATCTTCCAATTCACCATTGTTGCTGGTTTGTCATACTCTTCTTTGAGATCTGTGTGATCTTGTGATTAAATTATTATTATTTGATTTTAGGATATAGAGTTATATATCGACATATAGATTGTTTGGGAAATTGTTGTATCTTTCTCTAATAAAGTATAGGAAGTCCTCAATTTATAACCACATTTGGAACAATTTCAGCCGTATATTATTGCAGTTGTAAGTCAATGCGCCCTTGCGATTGGACCTGATTTTTTGACTGTTTTTATGGCAATCATTAAGTGAATCACATGGTCATAAGACTGAATCCAGTCTTAATCCAGTTCTGAATACCAGAAATGGACAAAAAATAAAATGCTGGAAACCAGCAAAATATGTCATTAATCACAGTCACATGACTGCAGGATGCTGCAACCGGTCATAAAGGCAAGCTGGATGCTATGTCCCCTAAATAAAATCATGTAACTGGGAGGCCCAGTGCAACATTTTACAATGGCTGGAAGTGCCTTATGCTTTATGAGCCATAAAGCAGCTTTTCTGAGGCTGCCATAACTTGAATAGTTGTTAAACAACTAGTAATGAGTCTAGAGCTACCTGCAAGGCTGTGCCATCCTAAACTGTCATAACAAAACTACAAATATGGCTAAGAAAGCCATAGAAAACAGTCATAAATACCCGTCTTAGATGAGAGGTGTAGCCCTTTTATGACTGTGGACTTCAACTCCCAGTATTCCTGAGCCACAAGTCATAAAAGGGCCATAGCTCCCCACCCTTGACTTAGATTAACAAATTTAGAGCAGCAAATTCCCCTCTTTACTGCGAGGCAGTATACTCAGTAAAACATGTCAAACATTGGGCATTATCTTCTAGGTTAATTTTTCCTAATATAGTGTCCTTTGAAGAATTCTTGAAGTTGAGGAATGCATTTAAAAAGAATAGAGTTGGGGAAAGCTCTGCTAGAGAATCATAGAGCTGGAAGAAGTCCCCAAATCTGTGAAAGTTGTCTGTCCAGATTTTGCTTGAAGGTAGCCAATGAAACGAGTTCAGTATCTACTTCCCTTTGTATCTACTTTTGCTGTCAAATTCTTTTTATCATTAGTTTTTCCTACCATTTCACGGAAAGTTTTTCCCTATCTATTACTGTGTCTGGGACTCTGGAACAATAAAAATACAAATCTTAATTTTCCGTGTGACATTCCTTCAAATATTGGGAAAATGCCAACATATCTCCTCTTTGTCCATCTCTCCTTATATGATTTTGTTTCTAAACTTTCTTGTTCTCTTGCATTGTATCTGTTTCTTCTTCTATGCATCTTTTTTTTTTAATTCAGTGTCCCAAATTGGACATAGTACTCAAGAGTTCTGATCAAGACTTCTGAGAAATACTACTTTCCATGATTTGGAAATTGTAGTTTTATTAATGAAATGTAGAACATTACTTATCCCATTTAAATCCAGTTCACACTGCTAAGTCATATTCAGTTTCTGATCACCTGCTATTCTAAGATCTTTTCCGACACATTATTAGTAAACTAGTTTCCTTAATTCTATGCTTGTATTTTTGATGCTTTTTTCTTGACCAAGAAACTCTCTATTAAATTTCATTTTATTATTTCCAAGTCCCGTGTTTAATCTAACAAGAGCATTTTGAATTTTGCTTCTATTTCTAGAACGTTAACTTTCTCATGTAATTTGTGTTGCCTGCAAATTTAAAAAGTGTTCACTTTTCACCTTTTCATCCAAGTGATTAATAAAAATGTAGAATGCAGTGTTGTGGCCAGAAATTTATTAGACCATGAAATTTAATCTTATTTAGCAACCCTATGTCTTGAAATGAAGGATATTAAGCTTTTCCCATTTCTTAATTTTCATAAAAGGGTTAACTGCCTTTGTTGATAGTCACACGTGTATTCCAAGATGCTTTCAAAGTGAACTGAAGGTTTGGATAACAGTAGACGCATGAGCTGTTTTTAGGAGTCAGGATACCTATTGTTCGTTATCTTTGAAAATGGATTTTTCAACTATGAAAACAATGGCAACACTGCTTCTCATTTTCCCTTTAGCTCTCAAAATACAATGCAGTTCAAGCACATACCAGCTGCTGCAACAGATTGGAGAGTATATATTGGTGTGCCGGGGGAATTTGCAAATCAAGGTAAATGTGTTCAAGCTTTCCCCAAATGGGAAACAAATGGTCATTCTTTAGCAGATTTTGTTTTAACACTCCTGTCCATATTTGAAATATGAATTGCATTTATGTCTGAATTGCTCCTTAGGCCAATTTGCATTTAATGTCTACCCCCAGGGATCCTGGGAATTGCAGTTTGGTCAAAGTATTGAGAGATATTTTCACCCTAGAGCCTAATTTGTGCTGAGGTCCTCCAGAAGCTATTTTTAACCTCAAGCTATAATCCTGGAAGAAGTACAGTAGCTATAAAATACGGTTGAAGAAAATTGAGAAATGTTTTCTCCCACCTCCAAGTAGGAGAGCTTCAACCAATCAACTGCCATTATAGATGTCAAAAGTGCCAAAGATAAAGGCATCCCTCTCACCCACCCAATTTATTTCAATGCAGCAATTTTAAAATAAATGCTCAGCCTGCAGATTCTTGATTAAGAAGACTCCTGCCGTAGGACTTCTTCCTTGGCCTTGACTTGTCTTGAAGGCATATCCACTTGAGATTGCTTTTTTCCTGCCATATGTTTGTAGTGATTTCAAGTCAGTTTTGACTCCTGATGAGTGCCTGCACCAGCCTCTGCAGTTTCCTTGGCAAGGTTTTTCGAAGTGGTTTGCCATTGCCTCAGAGGTGGTATTCAGCCGGTTTGGACTGATTCGCCCGAACCTGTAGTGGAAATCGTGGATGGGCTCAGCAACCCACCCTGGCTCTATGCCATCCTATTTAGGGACGTTTTCAAGCCAAAGTGCATGCATGAAATGCATGTGTGCTCACATTTGCCAACTGGTAGGGAAAGTAAGTGAAAACCACCCCCCTTGCAGTGTCCTATTCCTAGGGCTGAGAGAAAGCACCTGGCTCAAAGTCATCCAGTTGGCTTCATGCCCAAGGTAGAACTAGATCTTAAACTCTCCCTATTTCTTATCTAATGCCTTAAATTACTACATAGAATTGCTCTATGCCTTTTTTCTTTTTTACTACCAGCTTTCAACAGCCCTAATCAGAGAAAACAGAAAGAAATAGCTGGAAGGCAGATGACAGGAGAGACTCTTTTAATTTCCTGAGTATATTGACTGGGTTTAGATGGTGGCTCTTTCTTTCTCCCTATTCAATTCCTTGAGTTTGTTTCCCTCAGTATATTCATTGCCTAGAATCCTGCTTACTCCTGCCTCTCTGGTTAATATAGTTTGTTCCACTTTTCTCTCTAACAGAGGCACAACTCCCTTACAGGAATTGCCTTTTGTCAGGGGGTAGGGCATTGGTTAAAAATGACAGATGTGCTGTATATCAGAGATGCTTCATTCATTAACTGGATACAGTGAAGCACTAAAGAATATGTGCCATGCAAAACCTTCATATGGCTTGTTGGTTTCCTTGCAAGTTGTTAGCATTAAAAATAGATTTGAACAACTTTCTGTGATGACCCAGGCATGGCACAGAGGCAACACAGTCAGCTGACAGTTCAAACCGCCCCTTTATTTCTCAAAATGTTCCCCAAACGCTCCCATGTTTCTGGCAAGTCCCAGAGCAAAGTGATGACGCACACACACATACACACCTCCAGCAGGCTCTGGCTGCAAGTGGTCCAGCACAACGCTGTGAGCACAATGGCTGCAGATAAGAAATCCAGCAGGGCAAAGGAATAAGTCAATTAGTCCAGGAAGCAAAGGAACAAAGCAAGAAGTCCAGGAAACGTCCAACATCGGTAACGGCACACAACACTCTATGAATTCAGTGTTTCTTCCCAACAAATTCCCTCCCCACAGAATCTTCTTCAGTCTCAATCCCCAGATGTGCCTTGTGGAGAGGCAGGGCGCTTTCCTCCCAAGTAGTCGGCTCAGCCTGCGCTGTTCCCACCTTCTCTCCACTCTCCATGGTCAAGGATCATTGCTTGAACTCTGTCTCTCATGTTCACTGCTTAGTCTCTCTAGGTCATCCTGTCCCCATTCCTTCCTGCCTAAAAGCCATCCCAATCCTGAAAAGCCCTGGCCTGACTTGGCCTGCTCCTCCCCATATTCTTCCTAAGCCAATGAAGCCGCCCCCTTGATCTCCATGGGCTCCAGTTCTGGCTCATCTTCCTCTGCAGATTCAGGCTCCAACAGGGACATGACACTTGCAAGTGGTGGTACAAGACCAACACAGTTCTGATGAATCTGCACAGTTTCATTCTAAAATAAAACTCAGATATTACAAGCAGCAAATATTCACTACTTTTTGGTGACCAGCGATTTGATTGACAAATCAGAGCATCTTCAGTAAATGAATCAGTTACTTAGTTAATAACTAACAACATCGAGACAGCTCAGGTTGTTTAGCCCCATGTGTCTGACTTAACATTCCTGGACAAGTTCTGAAACTAGTTTTCTAATTTGGATAAAAAGGAGTTAGCTATTCTAAAAGAACGGGCATCAGAATTTCATTTTTAAAAGTGACAATAAAGCTTGTCTTATCTTATCTATTTTTTTGTTAAACACAAACTGGGGAGGGAGGAATTCACATTGGACATGGACAAAAAGTCTGGTTCATATTTTTTTTATATCCTACCTTTATTATTTTTATAAATAATATATAACTCAAGGCAGCAAATACATACAATATTCCATCTTCCTCCTATTTTTCCACAACAGCCCTGTGAGGTGAATTGACCGAGAAAGAGGGAGTGACTGGTCCAAAGCCACCCAGCTGGCTTATTACGCTAAGAGAGAATCAGCAGAATTTTCAGAAGGTGTTTTTCCCCCTTATTTCAGAATCACATCTAAGCCACTTCTCAAAATTATTTCAATCCTTAGTCCTCAAAGGGGAAGAATAGGAAATAATGTTTCACTTCAAATTAACTTAAAACTGAACTGAATTTTAGGGTCACGGAAAATAAAATTACTTCATACCCTCCTTGTAACCTTTACTTGCAGCTCTGTTAATTAAAATGCATGTTTGAGTTGATTAATGTCCATAGTAATGCTTGCAACCTGTAACTCTATTCAAACTTAATTTTAAAAAGCAGTAGGCTAGTCTGCATCTCTGTTGTCATAATGTGTAAAGGAAATGTTCTCAGAAGCAAAGTATGGCTGTTGACTTTACTGAAATGGTCCATTATTATGTTTTTAATTTTAGGGAAAAGGTGATATGGTAACATATTGGCTGGAAGGAAAAAAGTCTCGAATAATTCAGAAGAAGGGATTAAGCCCATCTGCAACCTCTGAAGCTATTAACCAGAGTGGTTTTGGTATCATTCCTGGTGTTGTATAGAATGTTCCATAATCAAATCCATTCCAAAAGAATGTTATCAGGCAACTAATCTATCTCGCTTTTTAGAAAATTATAAGCAGGAAGAATCTGAGATATCTCAAGGTTCTTGTTTTTTTTTAAACAAACCATGCAATCAATACAATTCTCAGCTCACGGATTAACTCAAGTAGTCTCTGTGAAGATTCAATTGTTATATCATGCTATGGTTTATTTTTTTTAATAGTTTTTAATAGTTTAATATATCTGTTTATTTATAGCTAGCCTTCTATTTTCTGTGAAGACCCGAAGATACATATCATTTTCATTCTGCCAGTGGTTGTGGCTTAGCAAGAGTTGTGAGTGCAGTCTTTGTAATTTGTGGCCATGCTTTGTAGCTTGGGTTAGGCCACTAGTTCTTGTTCAAGAAAACATAGTGGTTTAGCACAATGTATAATCTTATTTCAGTTCATATTCAACTCCAAGGTTGCTGTTATTATTACTGAACTATAACTGTTAGCAACTTTCACTGCTGTCTATGATGGGCGGATCAGCAATTGTACACTCATGAAAGTCAAGAGTAGGTTTCTATCAACATCCAGCTTGAGTAGCCAAATAAAAGTCTAGGATCATTTCTGAAAAGCTTACTGTTTATTGAATACATTGCATGGTAATGGCAACATAAAACTAACCCTGAGATTCTCAGGCATCAGTTCACAATATTAAACAACGATTTTCCCAGCCAAACCCCCAGGCTTCCTTGTAGACCATGTAAACAAGTTCTCTTTGTTATGGGAACCATCTGCCTTCTTCTTCCATTAAGATGTCCTTGAAAAGTTTCCAGACTTTCACAAGATTCAGTGGAACTGTAATAGTTTCATTTCTCTAATTTGTAATCAACACTTTACCCTTTACCCTAATGACAAGTTGAAACAAAAAGGCACATAGTTGCCAATGTTTCACTCTTGACAGGTTTCATTATTTCCCCTTATAATATCTCTTATACGCCACCTCTGTTAACAGCTACCCAGAAAACATGATTGTTTGGGAGAACTCCATAGTTTATATGTAGAAACTCACTGTGGTTTGTACTGGATAAAGTTAATCAGTCTCTTTTAGACTCTCCCTCCTTAGAACACAATTACTGGGCAAAGTTAGAGAGGACACACGAATTTGGAACTAACAAGCTTGCTTAGTTTCCCATTTCTATTCGGTTGGGAACATTAAATAGGGAACTCATGATCTACAATGTGAAAAATAGGAGACAATGAAATAAATGGCAGTTTGTGTAAGATGTGCTGTCCAAAGCAGTTTTATTATGATTTTTTTTCTAGGCACGATATCAAAACTCATACATAGTGGTATAATTCTTTACCTCTATTATATTCAGAACTTTTTTGGAGGCTGAAAGGGTTTCAAGTTGGCAACAAGCACCCAGTGAAGGCACAAATGCAAGGTCTGAATGCAAAGCAAACGTTTTAGAAAACAAATGGGAGAAAGAGTTGTGATGCTGTCTATACTGTTGTGTTCCTTTTTGTATGAGGATAAGCATTCTGTGTTGGCATTGTTTAATTCACCTTTGGGGTGCTGGATTCCTACTGAATTGCTACTGGAGGATGCAATGTTTTTTTCACCAAGGACCTCAAAATCACTCTGGCTTTTCCTGGAATTTGGGATGTTGGCCAAGCAGTCTGAATCCTGAAGCAAAAGCTTGGCTGCTTCCTGCAAGCATTCCTTTGTTCCTAAATAACTACCAGCATAAATAAGTGACACTCATGTTGTAGAACTGTGTAACATCAGTTAAATGCACATGCATTCAAAGATGCTCAAATCCCCTAGTGATTAAGATCAGACAAGAGACTGATATTATTTTGACTGGTTGAAAAAATATGAATTGAGTTTAAAGAGATTCTATATGTTGTGAAAAATGTCCTCTGAAAAAATGTCATTTATTAGAGCACCCAGTAATTATTACATTTTATTTCCCTTCTTTCTCTCTTTATGCTGATTTGTGTTCAGTTGAAGAACTTGATACTCTTGAACTTAATGGAAAAAAATATTGCAGTCTTATACAGTAACTAAATATTTTTGTGTTAAATTAGTTAGGCCAAAGTTATTTGTCTATTTGTTATAATTAGAAAGAATGTTACCCATAAGACCTCCAAATTGTTAAGTCAGTAGTATTTCAGTAACTGTTTCCTTATCTGCAGTACTTCTAAGATTAATTTTGTCTGTAATGTCTGCAGGTTGTTTTTGCTTCTTGTAACTTCTATTCTCTTCCAAGTTTCTTTTCAATGTATAGCCAATATATGAAATTGCTATTCTGTTTTGCTTTCCTTTGTGATCTGCGTTAATTAGATGTCAGATGCTGGAGAAAAAAGGTTGCTTTCAGATGTTAGAGATAAAAAATGTTCTTCATTATAATAGCAATTATAACTCTTTATTTAAGAATACATTAACATTTAATATTTTCAATACTTTTCTTTCTGTTGCTTTCTACCTTGAAAGTTTCATTGATTTCCATAAGCATAGGACTAGTCTCATGGTAGGACTTAAAACTATGCTTCTACTTGTTACTTCTATTGATTTTTTTTGTTATTGTTGTCTTTTTCTTTCCTGTTTTCAGAGTTTATAAGCTATTTTGTATTACATGTATTTGGATCATTCTTACTATAAATTTCTCCAGTATCATTAATATATTTTTAAAAAATTAGAATACAATACATGAATGTTAAAATTATGAGCTGTACACTAAATTGTTTAAAAGGGGAAAGAAGCATATATTCTTTTGTTTAATTGATATTGTGAAATTTTTGATATTTTAATCAATGCATTTTAAAAATTCACTAACCTAAAATGTTATCAGAATTTTAAAATGAAATACTCATTTCCAGTATCCAGTCAGTTTTATAACCCTTCAGTTTATCTTTTGTAGTCCCTTTAAAAAGCTGTAATTAAAGTTCAAGGCTCATATTTAAATGAAAAAGTTTGTGATTTTATTGGTTTTTGGCAACAAGTCCTGCACTTATACATTTTTTTCAATTAGGCTATTAAGGGCATTCTAAATAATCCCCCCAATTAACTACCTTACTAAAATTATACATACTAACCAGTAAACTCACACAGAGTTAAGTTAGCATAAATCAACTCTGAACATTCAAAGTGTTTCATTTAAATAAACTTTTACTATAATTTTTAAAACAAGCCACTAAAGCAGATCAATACAATTATTCCTATAGTGCAAATAGAAAGGCTGACACCCCCCCAAAGAAGAACACATTCTGTTATTTTTTTAAAAGCATATTAATTTATTAATAAATTTCCCCCCTTTCCCAAGTTATTTTCCCAAGGAGTTACATTATGGGCACCAAACAAGGTTCTGTTGAAGAATAAATATTTTGGAAGAGTAGTTGTTATTGGGTTAAAGTGTTATTTATTGTTTATTTAAAAAAATTTAAATTGCTCAATAGCCAAACTCTTGGTAACTTCAATAAAACATACTAAAAGATACAATTTTAATAAAAACATATACCAAAAAATTCAAATAAAATGCAAGCTAGGTAGCAGCAAGGCAATCATATGAAGCTAAAACAACACAAATTAAAGTACAAGTAAAGTGCAGTTAAAAGGCATGGGGAAATAGACAGATTTTCACCTGGTGTCAAAATCATCCTCAAGTGGGTGCTAGCTGAGTCTCTCTGTGGAGAGAATTCCACAAATGGGGTGCCACTGCAAAAAAAAATCCCCCCTTTTGTTGAGACCAAAGTCAAATTATTTGCTGTGATGGGAATCTAGAAGTGGGCCTTATTAGATCTTAAAGATCTTAAAATCTCATTGGGTATTTACAGGACAAGGTGCTCCTTCAGCTAATGTGATGCTAAATCATTCAAAGTTTTAAAGAAAAAGGGCTGCACATTTAATGTCCAGAACATGCCTCAAAGAATTGGGGGAGGGGGGATTTGATTCTAGGGAATGAACTTTCCCCATATTCAGTTAATCAATCTGAATTTCACCTTCTCCCATTGTATCTCCATCTTGATTAAACCTGAAATTTTGCTCCACTTTCCTTGCGGCATGTCCTAGTGCTATGATGGCGAACCTATAGCTTGCGTGTAAGAGGTAGCACACAGAGCCTTCTCTGTGGGTACACGTGCCATTTCCAGCCGCTCTTCTGGTTTCTGACGTGCATGTCAGCTGGTCTTTGCGGGCGCCAGAGCACCAGAAAATAGCCTAAAAAATGGCCCCCAAACAGTTTTTTGGGGCCCTTTTGGGGCTGAAAAATGGCCTGAAAACAGCCTGTAAACAGGCATGCATGCGCTGGCCAACTGGTCTTCCTGTTTCCGGTGCTCCGGCATGCGCACATGCACACATGTTCCAGTTTGTTCACTCAGTGCCAAAAAGGTTCGCCATCACTACCCTAGTGTTATTCTGGTTACCTTTGAATTTTGAAATATAGGGGGAATCTAAAGGAATCTAAGGAACTTGAGAGTGCATGTTGCCCTCAGCCAGGGTTGCACGACATTTTTTTAGCTCAAAAGCCACATGAGACTTTGTGCATCTTCAAATACATACTGCAGAAGTGGGTGTAACTAATTGTTGTTCCTTGGGGAGGAAGAACAGGAGTTTGAAAGGGCAAAGCTGGTGCATTGAACATTTGCTATCAACTTGGAACTTATAAGAGACCAACTTTAGCCTTGCTCTGTTTGGGGAACTTTGTGGCCCAAAAAAGAAATGCTGGAAAGCCACTTGTAGTCCTGGGATAAATCTTGCTCCCTTCTCTTTATAACCAGTTTTTTTTTTTGCAGCCCTGTGCTTTGATGATGATGTAGGCTTACTAGCTTTTTATCTGGTGTTTCTAGCTGTTCCCTAAAAATGTGCAAGGGGCCAATAGAATGGTTTGTTCCCATTCTACCTTCCTACTACAGTAACAATTTACATAACAAGTAAGAAATATCACATGCATATTAACAACAGGCAGTGTAGTATTGTGGTTAAGATGCTGGCCTGGCTTTGGGAAGTCCATC